AAAACAAAACACCAGCTCCTACTTTTTAGGAGTTCTGCGTTATGGGGTAAATCAAAGAGCAAAGTATAAAATCATACATGTTTGTACACTTTAAAAAGTATTTCAGACATAACTGTTTTAAGAATTCAGGAGCAAACAAATATGTCGGGGACTATCAGGGAAGCCTTCACAAAGACAAGGAGAATGAGCAACACCTTAGTTCTTAGACAATGGCCCAAAGGGGTGAGACCATTATAAATGGGAGGAAGCGCGTGCGTAACTCAAACATGGTGGGAACTTTCTGGGTGCTTACATTGCAGCCCCGACCTCAGGGAATGGAGGATGGCTTTGTGACATGGAGGGTGGAAGATGGGGACAGTAGAACATTTCTTGACACTCTTCTAGGGTATAGATGAGCCATTGAAGTTTTTTGAATAAGTAGAAGTTATGCATAAAAAAAATTATCTTTGTAGCCCTTATCAGATCTAACACGATACCTTACATATAGTGAAATATTTGAGGAAAAAGTATTACATTGAATAGGATGGGATGGACTGGGATGGAATTTTTAAGGCAGGTCTTAATTTTGAAAATCTGCATATAGATTCTTCTGTTTTAATTATAATAATAAATACTTTGGGAAGTGTTTCGAGCAATCAGTGAGCAATTTTAAGTCTAAGTTCAGGAAATAAAAATATTCAAGCAATGATAAAAATTTAACAAGTGAAGATGTAACCCACTAAAAAGACACCGTGCTCATTTCTCAGACTGAACATGACATTGGGCAGCGTTGGCTTCATAGAGACTGGGAGGGGTTGTTGAAAGTATCATGGACCTATGCAAAAAAATGTATTGGGCAGTATGTTTTTTAATCAATTTTAGTGACTCATATAGAAAAAGTAATATAAATGGTGTGAATTTTGAATATGAGTCTGCAGAGTATATGGTGTACTCACACCTAATCTGCTGTTTTTCTCTTGACAGATCCATTACAAGATTTTGGCTTTTCTATTGACCAGTGTTCCGAACATTTAAAATCAAATATCAACATTAGATTTGGAATCATTCTGAGTAAGTAAAACTATTGACATGAAATAAAACAACCTCTTCCTGGCTCACTCACCCAATTACTTGTATTAACTGGAGTGGCTGGCTCAGCCCCTGCTCCCCAGCACTCTGTGGAATTAAATCTACTCCCATCTTCCTCTTCAGTTCTCTCTCTGGGTAACATCCAGATAGAGTAAAACTCTCATTTAATGTTGTGATTTTTGTACTGAAAAGACTCTAGGCACTCATTTATATGATATAAGCACCTGGAATCAGTATAACCGACAGAGAAAGAAAATATTTTGAGCTTAAGCATTGATGTTTGCTCAGGAGAGAGTTTTTGTTTAGTTATTTCAGCAACGAACAAGTCTACTACCAGCAACATGGCTAGTCTTTGTGTTATTTCATTTCCCAAACAGCTAATATAAGTTCTTCAATCTTGACTCAGTGAAAAGCGTGTAATATCTTCTCACTCCACCCCAATCAATGAGCTCAAATGCTTTCTGATTGTTTACATTTGTATGGTCATGCCATAACAATTAATCGTCATATTGCTATAGTTACTAGAGTATCTCCTTTCTAAAAGAGTTTATCAAAACCAGAGCAGAGGATTTAATAAACTTAGCATGGGGAGTCAGTCCACAGAGATGGAGGGAACATTCCCAGAGTCTAAGGACTCTCATGCATCCTTGTATTTCTCAAACCTCACACAACGTCTGGACTCTATAGCAGCAGCTCAATCAATGCTATGAGGAGAGACAGAGAAATGCAGAATGAAAGGAGAATGGAGCAGAACATAAAAAGGGGAATGGAAGAAAGTTTCAGAAAGAATTGGAAGCCAGCACTGCAGAGCACCCTGAAGCTTCCTGTGTAACTATGCTACAACATCTGCCCAGCAACAGTGGGGGTGTGCAGGCTTGCTCACACCCCGGCGCTGTCAGGGAGGTATCTAATACTATGGGGCTGAAAAGTGATAGAAGCCAGACCTGCAGCCACCACATTAAGGGGCCATGGCATCAGGACAGGGGAGCGCAGCAGATAAACTATCTCCTCCAAGCAAATCAAGTTTGTGAAAGCACCTCATCTCATACTCAGGGCTGGCACCACAGTCCCCTGCACCACTGCCTAAATCAGTGGTTCTCAACCTTCCTAATACCGCGACCCTTTAATACAGTTCCTCATGTTGTGGTGACCCCCAACCATAATATTATTTTCGTTGCTACTTCATAACTGTAATTTTGCTACTGTTATGAATCATAATGTAAATATCTGATATGCAGGATGTATTTTCATTGTTACAAATTGTACATAATTAAAGCATAGTGATTAATCACAAAAACAATATGTAATTACATATTCAATATGTGTTTTCCCGATGGTCTTAGGCGACCCCTGTGAAAGGGTCGTTCGACCCCGAAAGGAGTCGCGACCCACAGGTTGAGAACCGCTGGCCTAAATGCTGTTTTACCAAAAAAACGGTTCCCTGTGCAGCACAGACTGCTGGAAATGCAAGTTCTTGGGGCTCATACTTGTATAAATTTTGAATGTTTTGATATGCAGCAAAACCCACACCAGGTAAAGCCCATCTCTTTTCCTTTAGGAGAGGACATAAAAGAGTTGTTTCTTGATGCAAGTCTCCTGACGGGAGGAGTGCCCTTTTTGAATTACTCCTATCCCATCTGTGAAGAGGATCTCCCCAAGTTTTCTTTCTGTGGAAGAAGGAAAGGGGGTAAGCTGTCTGTCTTTCTCACTGATTGCTGAGGCCCAGGAACAAGACCTCTGCTGAGCTCAGGACACCCTGGTGGGGATCTGGGCCCTGCCCCTCACCTGTGGACAAGTTTCACCTCACATGTCAGCATCTAAGTGCTGTGTCATATGCTGTTACATAAAAATAACCGTAAGGCTCGTCCACTGGGCCTACCTGACAAGGTGGGTGTGAAAATCAAATTAAACACCCATATATAAGGTACTTTACAAACACAACATGTGTTAATGATGGCACTTCATTTATTAAAAAAAAAAAAAAGGAGGGTTGGCAACAGAAAGAATCAGTAGCTTCCCCAAATCCATTGCTGTTCAGTGTTTCCAAGTTTCTCCTCAGCAATCTCTTTACTGGCAAGGTCTCCTCAATATAGCAATGGACGATGAAAAAGAAAAAAAAATGGGAAGCTTTCTGACTGTCAGCATTTTACTGTAGTCTTTCTCATTTGAGTCATTGACTGATGGGGCAGTAGGTGGCTACATTCAAAGTACAGATGTGTAAAACCCATGGTATTATCACTCTTTCTCCACCCACTAGGCCGCCATCCCTGCCATCCATACCTCAGTAGAGCCCAGGAGCCCCCCTCCAGCCTGTTCCCACCTCGCCTCTCCTCCCAGTCCTCACCCACCATCTTCACCAAGACCCCGAGATGCCTCTGTTTATTTAACCAAAAGTTGGGTCTGCTCTGTGACTTTCCTTCCCCAGAATTGTTCCTTTCCTCTTCCCAGGGTCTCCTTACCATTCCCATTGGCCAAGGGGGAACATGCCCCTAATCCCACACCCTTGAGATACTCACTCCTCTATTTCCTCATTCAAGGAAGCTGGAGGGAAATCACCTAATTATGCTTCCAAACAAAGGCTCTAAAGAAATTGGATCCCCTTCCCATACTGAAGATGCAAGCTCAGGCACATCCGTGTATTTCCTCAGCACGGAGGGCTGTTCAGTAGCTGGTCCCTATTGAACTTTTTCTACCTGCCCTCAGCCATTCCTGTCTCAGACTCCTCACCCCACAATCAGCCCCTTTTTCTTTCCTTCCCTCCCTTCTTCCTCATTCACTTCTTCCTTCTTCCCTTCCTCCCTTCCTTCAATACTAAGTCTCTACTGTGTGAAAAGCACTTTGGGGAGCCTGAAGATGAACCAAGGATGGTTTCTGCCTTCAAAGACATTGATGATGGCCTAGAGGAGACTAGAAATCCACAAAATTCTGTGTGGTGTGTGCATTAAAGAGGCACAAACAAAATGCCAAGGAAACGTGAGAGTTATAGTTCATTCCCAACAGGTTGACCGCTTGGAAAATGGAAAGTCTGAAAAATGTAATATAGAATTATTTTCCTGTTTGCCTTAAAGTTATTTGAAATTCGGTTACAGGCTTTTCAGCATTCATTATATACTAGTATATATATATATATATATGTAGTTTGTGCACAGCATAATAATGCTGGTAGTCTACAAGCATTCCTGATTTTATAAAATGTTTTGAGGAATTCAAAGCATCTTGAGCTGATAATTAAATAATAATCCCCGAGAAGACTGACAACTCAGTAGGCTGCCACCTAGAGTCAGCATCTACAGTCCTATCTCCCATGTTTGCTTATCTTTCCAATTTCCCCCCAAAATAATTATTTTTGAACCCAAATGTGGAAACAGGTATGCTTGGAAGTACTACTAGCTTAGTAAGAAAGAACCCATACTGGGCTGTCCTTTTGTTCCTATGCTCCTACTTCCTTCTATTCTCCAGATCAAATCTCCCCACCTCCTTCCTGGAAGATGGAAATGACTTCCAACCTGGTTTTCCTACTTCCTTACTGCTGCTGGGGGGAGGGGTAGTCTTCCCAAATACAGTGTTGATCGTGTCACCCCCTTCCCAAAAGATTTCAGGGGTTCCCATTTCTATAGAACAAAGTCTAAGTTCTTCAGTGAGCTAGGTTCATCACGGATTGCACTCTAATCAGCTTCTCCTGCCACATCTTGGCCCACATGCACCTTCAGCTACAGCTTCATTGAATTATTTGCCACTTTCTGACCACACCCTGTGTTTTGACACACGTGGTGCTGTTCTGATGCTGCCCTTCGCCTCCATTGCCTGTTCCCCATTTCTCTTCTATCCAGACTTCACTCAAATATCACCTCCTCTCAGAAACCTTCCTCCTACCCCAAGCCAGTTAGTTGTTCCCTCTGGATGCCCCTGGTGTATCACATCCCCACTTATCTCAGCCATCATTGTATTTTGTATTCCAGTTACATTATGTGTGTGCATGTATACTAGTATGTGTGTGTCCTTTGAAAGCAGGCACTTCAAACTTTGAACTCCTTGAAGGCAGGAATATTTCTTGCTCCTCTCTGTCTCTGTAGACTTTGCAAAGAGAGATCAGCACAGAGTAAAGATGCAATAAATTCTTGTTTTATTGAATTTGCATGTGACAAAATGAATGCAAGTATCCCACCTCCTAAGTGACTATCTAATGATGCTTATGCATGCCACAAAGACACAGGCACATCCAATCCCAGAAACCAGTAAATTATCTTGATCTTCCACATTTAAAAAAACCTATTTTTCCTCAGTGAGCGTTTTAATCCTATATAATAAAAGGGTAATATGCAAATTGACCGAACGGCAAAACAACAGCACCACATCGTCAGTGGCCCCTCACCCCCGTAGGCTCTGCTCCTGAGCGGGCCCCTGGAACCAGATCAGGGGCAGGGCCGACAAACTGCCCACAGTCCCTTGCCCCAGCTGGTCCACCCCTGATGGCTCCCATCAGGGGTGGGCTGGCTGGACCCCAACAATGCATGAATTCATGCACCGGGCCTCTAGTAGAATTAATAAAACAGAAGAGATATTGTCCCCCAAATTAAAGTGTTCAATTCTGTTTGGCAGCTCAAAAAGCTGGTTTTGCCTTATTCAAATGCTGGGCAGCCCTTCAGACATTTATTTGCTTTGTTGTCATGGAGTTGATAGCTTCATAGGCAGGCTGAGAAGCCAGAACTCAGGAAATTGTCAAGAAATTTCATATATATAAAAAATGATCAGAAAAGTAATATACAAATGCTACATGCACAAATAATTATGTAAATTACTAAACCAGAGAAACTAAAACCTTAAATTCAGAGGCTTCTTGGGTTATTACATTTTTTTAACCCACCCATCAACCCAGTGTAGGAATGATGCTGTTGAAAAGAAGTGATGACTTCTAAGACCAGAATTAAGAGAAAAGCATGCACCAAGGAGGACCTAAGGCAATACAAACCCGAGCATAAGCTGTTGTTGACATTTTAAACAGAAACAAAGTCCCTCTGGGGTTCACAGGTCCTTCTTAGCAGAGCAGTGAGAAAACTTGGCGTCCACTGTGGGCAGCCCATAATGGTGTCAGTGGTAGATGAATTGTTTGATACTTCCATGGCATTATAGTGCACCCCTCTGCAACCTGCACCCCGCTGACTGTAATCCAAGCCAGATAAAAACACAAAATGTGTCAGGCTTAGTGAGACTGTGTGGACAAAATGTTCTCTTTCCTTCTGCACCTTCCCAGCTAGCTAAGACAAGAGCACATTGGATTTTAAAACCAAGTGATAGTCTTTTGGCATTGGTAATTTGGGCGCAATAGCTTCTAAGTCCAATCATAGGGGATTGACTAAGTAGACTATTGTCAGGCCAAACAAAGATATTTAAATGGCTTTGTAGGAGAATATTAAATTACATTAAAATAAACATATAAGGCTATTGTTAAGTGACACAGAAGCTTGCTATAAAAGAGTAATCACTATTACATCCTGTTTTTGTTTAAGTGTATGTAAATGTATACACCATAAAAAGCTTTAAAATAGCATACACCTACGTGCTGAATAGTGGTTATCTCTAAGTGATGGAACTGCAGATCTTTATTTTTATCTTTTTTTGGAAATCTCTTTTGCTTTTATAATAAATACTAGAGGCCCAGTGCATGAAATTTGTGCATGGGTAGGGTCCCTAGCGGCTGCCGGCTGTCAGCCAGGACCTCCCTTTCCCTGGCGGCTGTCTGCCGAAGGCCGGGGCCTCACTTCCTGTGGTTGGCCATGGGTAGGGTCCCTAGTGGCTGCCGGCTGCCAGCCAGGACCTCCCTTTCCCTGGCGGCTGTCTGCCGCAGGCCGGGGCCTCACTTCCTGTGGTTGGCCGGCTGGTCCCACCCCCTGGTCAAACTCCTGGTCGAACTCCTAGTTGAACTCCCAGTCGAGGGGACAATTTGCATATTAGGCTTTTATTATATAGGATACATGGTTACCCCTTTAATTATATACATTCTATATCCTTTCTCTGAGACACCTTTAGCCCCCTGTACCCAGGTTCATTGAGAAGGGATCAAAATGGGCCACTATTTTAATTCCCACTCCATTAATGCTAGTTTAGGTCTTTTCTCTGCTGATCACATAGATTAATCTGCTTTACTTGATCTTCATGCTTTTAAACTGGCTCCATCAGCTCCACATCAATTAAATTGAATGTCCTTAATAACTACACCCAATTACAAACCCTAAGGAATGAAGCTGCAGTAACTTTCTTAATATTTAAGTTAAGAACAGTAATGCTGGTAGAACCTCTGTGTGGTTAGTCAGGTTTGGCCTCATCCACAGTCACCAACTGTGCCCTTTCCCCAGGTTACACGTTACTTAGTCCCATGCTGTTGTCTTGGTTACACGTTAGGCACATGTGGCTTCTCAGCCATGAAAACATAGCTAGTCTAAGTTGAGATGTACTGCAAGTATAAAATACAGACTCAGTTTTAAAGACTTAATATGAAGAAGAGCAAGATATCTCAATCAAATTGTTATATTTGTTATCAGTTTAAATGATAACATTTGGGATCTATTGACTTGAATAAAATATATCATTATTACATTTATCAACAATAAAATATATTACTAGCAAATTGTTAAAATTAATTTTACCTATTTAAATGTGCACACCCCCCCCAAAAAAATAAATAAAAACCACATGAAATTATACATACTACCATCATTATATTTCTACTAGAGGCTTGGTGCACAAATTCGTTCATGGGTGGGTCCCTCCCAGCTGATTGGGGCTGATCGGGGCTGATCCGGGCTGGCCAGTCAGGAGGAGAGACCGTGGGAGGTTGGCTGGCCATAGGAGGTTGGCTGTGGGAGCGCACTGACCACCAGGGGGCAGCTCCTGCAATGAGCATCTGCCCCCTGGTGGTCAGTGTGCATCATAGCTACCTGCCTGTCAACCAGTCACTTAGGCTTTTATATATATAGATTAGGCAATGATGCATTATAATCTCCCTTCACAATTTTCAAGATTCCCAGACCAATTAATTCAGAATCTCTGGTGGTAAGACCCCAGCCAGGTGATTTCAATGTTCAGCCAAAGCTGAGGAAGGAGGAGGACCTTAGCCCCAGGTAGGGATTGCACAATATGTGCCAGGGACCTTTCCAGGCAATAACTACTCTACTGTTTGCACCAACCTTATGACATATAGAAACTACTGCTACTAGCCTCATGTTAACATATGAGGAAATTGAGACCCAGAGAGGTTAAGTAACTTACCCTGAGTCACAAAGAAAGCAGGCAGTGGAGCTGGGTTTCTCCCCAAAACGTTGGGCTCCAGAGACTTGCTCTTATCCTGTCTGCTACCTATCCTCTTGGAACATAAATGAAACTGCTGGAGAAGTATATCTCATTTTAGCCTTCCACTAAGACTGAGAAGTGATCAAAAGACATGACCAAATTATAGAAATCAAATCATTTTTGAGTCACAAAGAAAGCAGGCAGTGGAGCTGGGTTTCTCCCCAAAACGTTGGGCTCCAGAGACTTGCTCTTATCCTGTCTGCTACCTATCCTCTTGGAACATACATGAAACTGCTGGAGAAGTATATCTCATTTTAGCCCTCCACTAAGACTGAGAAGTGATCAAAAGACATGACCAAATTATAGAAATCAAATCATCATTTTTGGGGCATAACCAGCCATTATATAAGGCAGTGTTTCTCCAAGTGTGGTCCCCAAACTAGCAACATCAGCCTCATCCAAGAAATTTTAATAATGAAATTTTTACTTTCTACCCAGGCTTACTAAATTAGCAACTCAGTGTTTAGGGCTTACAATTCTGTACTTTATCAAGCCCTTTAGGTCACCAGTCCGCAAACTTTTTCTGTAAAGGACAAAATAGCAGACATTTTAGGCTTTGCAGATGATATTTTCTCTACTCAACTCTGCTGTTACAGTGTGAAAGGGGCTACAGACTATATGAAAATGAATTGTGCTGTTTTGTTTTCTCACCTCTATCTAAGGTTAGCCCCTACAGTTCTCATTTTCTGACCTAGGCTTGATTTCCTTTCAGAATGAGTGCCCATGGAAATGCCCACTCTCTTCAGGGAAACCTGACATTTAACCGTGGAGGTGTGGTCCATTCCCACAGCCCCAACAAGATTATCCCACAATTGTCTGACTTCTCCCAAAGTCTGGGTTTGTCAGCACAAAGCAACACCACAAACAAGGCACCCACAGCCTGTCTAGCTTGGAAATGAGTTGAGTTTACCCCAGTCTCTTTTATTCTGTTCTGATTTAACAAGAGTTCAACGCACCTTGATGTCCATTCTCAACAAAATGGGGTTCATTTTGTTTAACAAGTTTCCTATAATATCCCATTTTAGGAAGATGGGAGTGAAACAATAAGTGAAATAGAGCAAAAAATTGATTGTAGGATTTATAATCTGGGAAGTATGACTAAGCCCCTCTAAGACCCGCTCACCCCCCTAAAAAAACATGTAGGGTGAAAATTACTCAAAGGAACAGGGTGGCTCATGTTTTGGCTGTCTAGAATATATTGTATAGGGCTATGTAGAAAGCAGACTCTCAACTGGACATGAGCCTGGAGATCTGGGCAAAGACCCAGATTAAGGCCATAAAGTAAATAGAATGAAGACAGGATTTTCACTCTTGATGACAAAAGACACATCAACTGTTATGCTTGTTTCAGCCCAAGCCTCTGGGAGTTCTAGCCAGGCTAGGTCAACCCAGGCAAAAGGCATTGGTTTCACAGCACTAAGTAGTAATTGGCTTTCAAAAATGACTTGTTTATTGTTTTACAGATTGACTTGTGGATATCAATTGTACCTACCCTCTTGCCAAAACCAGCTAAAATTAAAATAAAGGCCTGTAGAAAGAAGTTAAATAAGTGAAGTGAAGTGTGTGTGTGTGTGTGTGTGTGTGTGTGTGTGTGTGTACATACTATGATTATAAACTAGGAAACTGTGATTGACATGGTTGAAACATGATGAAAACTCAAGAGGACTTGATCTTACATGTGTGACAGATCCCAGAGAGTGTCAAAGACTGCAGGCCCCACAAGAACTGCTGATTCGGGGTGCACCACCCCTGTACATGAGCACTAACCACTTTCAGTAGGAGCAAAATCAATTATGAAATACATGTACCACATATGAATACACTTCACTTCATGCAGTATGTAAGCTACAGAAAAAATTGGTTGTGGATTTAATTTTCAATGCATCTGGAAAGCTTGCAATTAAATATTCCAGTGACACCTTTTGTAGGCTGAAGAATCCTTTAGATGAAAAAATAACTGCTCCCTGATGTATCTTTTGTGTAAATCTGAACTTTCCTGCTTTCACTGTTTGTTCAAAGTGGGGAATACATCATAATTAGATGAATTTCAATGCACGACAGAGTAGATCCCCTGAGAAATGTATTTAAAGTCTGACATGAGATTGTCCAAAGGGTGGATATTTTCTCTGATAGCAGCTACAAGATTCTGCAATAATACTGATTTTACATGTACAGATAAGACAAAGATACAAGCATAGCAGGTACTCACATTGGCTCCCTGTCCTTCCTCACTGCTAGAGCATTTCTCATCTGTCCCAGTTCATACTGAACACATGTGTCCGGCCATCCTTGAAACATCTTTAATTGCTGAGCCTTCTCAATCTTTGTAACTATTCAAAATTCAGTCCGAATAGCAATTCAGATTTCATTGGCTAGATTTCTATTGCCTTAGCTATCTCTTTTTCTATGTGCTCCTTTTCACAGGTTTATATAATGGAGGACATTTGAAAATTGCCTTTACTTGGAAAAATTCCTATAAATGCTCTCTGCAAAATGCCTTACGCATTGCATTTCTCTGGTAAAAGACAGGCAAAAGCCACCTTCTAGGCAAGTGCTACCTGGAAGAAGCTCCACCATTAATCTATGCCAACGACCTAGCACCTCCATAAAGCCATGCACCCCTACAGTAGGCCTCACCTCTCATCTGTTTAACACCCGCTGCACCAGCATTAACAAACGCATGCACCATGAGTGTGGTCATTGGTTTGTGCTATAGGAGAAGGCAAAGGCCTCAATTTTAAAGCATGTCTTTACCGGGATAGCACTTCTGTCCTACCTGTTTGTTCACCTTCAATTTCTGGGCCATTAGACCA